CCCCCCCCCCCCCCCCCCCCCCCCCCCCAAGAGGCGCCATAACAATGTTCAGAACTGTACGATGAGATTTTGCACATGGATGCCACTGAATATTGATATAAGATCTCTGACAAGAAGCTGGGCTGTTGTGATGTAATAAGAGTTAAGTTACATCAAGAATCAGACAGGATCTCTGGCGAGCAGTGAGAACGAGGAGGTCTCTGACAACGTAGGATTTGGGTTTATTGCGAGGTTTATAGACACAGAATAGTACACCGGAGGGGTAGTAAGGGGTTCAGTCCGGCTAGGCAGTTGCACACACGTCCTTGAGTTAGTGTTGAGAGTCCAGTATAGGACTCTGACATGTCCTGGGGGGGAGGCTCGTCTGAGCACGAGGTCTGTCCTCTCCGAAAGCTTGGCTTCAACAACTACTGACTGGAGAGCGACAGCGACCCAGGGCCTAGCACAAGCAGGGTGTGTGTGTCGTGCTGGATACAACACAGTACTATGAATCTTAGGCGACAGGCAACCCAAACCGTGGCGTCGCAGCCCTGCCTTCAGTTCTCTGGAGCCTCAAAGATTCATCCGAATCGACTTTGACCAAAGGCAAAGTTTCTCCTCTCCTCCCTTATCCACAATAGACCGTTCCGACAGTGCGCTCTTTGAGAAGAAAAGAAGAAGTCAGGACCGGAACCGGTACCTAAAACGCGCTTATTTTTGTCATTTGACAGTGCAGTTCAACGTGAATGACCTCGATTAAATATCTAGTAACTGTCAATTTTAGTTTTCACTAATTTAAGCCATTATTTTAGAACTCTTTCCGGTGGTGATTTCATTAATTCTTCTTTAAACGGGCACTGCCGGAACCATCTATTGTATTTATTTAAGGGAATACATGAGCTAAGTGGAGAGTGAGCCCTCTAATTGCGCTGGTTCGAGCCATGTTGGGATACGACCTAGATAGTTACAGAGTGTTCAGTGTAAATGATGATTGCCAATAAAGTAATTTGATATTTTATTTTGTTTTATATAAAAAAAAGTTATTTTCACAACCAATAAATAAAAGGCGTTTGTTCCCGGGAACGCATGCCACAAACACGTCTCTCTCTCAATTAACACGTACACACGACATCAGCAGTCTTCTCCAGTTCTCTCTTGTAACTTAAACTCTTTGTAATTTATATTTTAAAAGTTAGATGAGGCGAAATAAAAAGAAAAATGTAGCCTGAATGTCCTTTACAGTCTTCAGTATACCACCACCTGTCTATAAGGACTTTAGTGCACCACGTGACCATGACCACCATGATAGACAACAACCGACACTAAACAATGCATTTCAAAAAACAAATGGTACTTTGTTTTAGAACAATCAGGAATATGTCTACATCTAAAGTTGCTGTAAGCCGTGGATGCTCTGAGTATTGTGATACCAGGGCTTAGAGGTAGGGGTTTACATCCCGTTCCAGGAGCATATGACACGATACCAGCGGTAATGAAGACGGCTAAGAATTTCAACCCCATCTATAACAACTAATAATTAAATCTTACACCTAGCTAACATCACAGAGCACTCTTACATGTCAGGTACACGCGCAGTATCAGAAGGGAAAACCGAATGATGGTATGACCTTCTGCCAACATATTCTTTTAGAACTGAAGTGGCAGGACGGGCATCAGTCCCGATCGACGTAGGTGCACATGTACCCACAAGCAGATCGCTATAAAAAAATCGAAAAGTCTCAGACCAATAAAGTGGTTCAATTCGGCTGCGACCATTACTCTAAACTATGTTTCAATACACAATGAGGTTTCATTGGGGCGCCGCCAATAACCATGGTGATATTTAAAAGCGGTAACAGACCATTGCTTATAAAGATATAGTTGTCTGGCAAAGGTAGAAACTTTGTTGCACTCGCTGCCCCATCATCAGATATGAAATAAATATTAATAATAACATTACGGATTTGAGATTTTCCTCTACCTCAAACGGTAGTTTGACGAACATCTTCGCTCGAGGCGCATCGCCCTGAGCCCACTTGGCGGAAATTTCTCGACAATAATGGGTACTCGCCCGCGATGTTTTTTTCGCATCCGAGTGCGCCAACATGTACACGTTTCCTTTCGCGTTGGTGTCAACTGGGGATGTCGTTGTACTATCATGAAGAGACGACGTGGCTGAGGCCGAGGTCGGTGTTCACGACGGAGCGCTTGCGCGCCGCCGGCTTGTCCGGTGGGGTGTCCCACGACTGCTTCTCGCCCGACGCAAAGACCTGGTAGATGAGCGCCGTAACGAAGTACACGCCCGCGCTGATGAAGAAGACCGTGCGCCACGCTGCTTGCGTCGGCTGCAGAAAGAAAGTAGAATGCAAGTTAGGAAACCGACCGACGACTACTGCCCCTATGCCATCGCGTGCAAATATTTAGGGATTTGAAAGTCCGAAATCTTTCAGGAAAAATTGGAAACTTTCCCAGAAAAAAAAATGAAAAATAAACCACTGCCAAAAAAAAAGTTGAAAAAAATTCAGACATTGGAAAAGAAATTGGAAAATTTCTCAAAAATACTTTTTCTGGAAGATTGAAATTCCTTCGTGAGGTGAGACTCACAGAATCGACATGTGCTGCTGCTCACCTTGTGGTTGGTGATCTTGCCCGCTATGAGGGGCGCGAGCAGCGCAAAGAGGTTGGCCACGCAGTTGGTGATGGCCATGAGCACGCCGGCGTAGCGGGGCGAGATGTCGAGGTGGTTGATGCGGTACGCGCTCATGGTGGCGCCCATGAGCCCCACGCCCACGGACAGCAGCGCCACGGTGGCCGCCCCGGAGCAGCCCGTGTAGGACGCGCCGATCATGCAGAAGGCCGGCCCGAGCAGACCTGGGCACAGGGGCAGGACGGCGCCGTCAGTACCCCGCTCAATGTGCAAATACCCCGCGCGAATCACTCGGTCACTCACACTCAAAGTCAAACTCGAATTCTCACTCCCACTCACACTGCCCATTTGTTCTCGCTGTCGTTATTATCTCCTTTATCGGCGAAGAGAGTTGCAATATGATTGCCCTGCTCGTAACTCCCTAAAATGACTTTGCCCCAATCAACGGCGCAATAAAAACGGCGCCCGCGGCATCTCAGTAATCGGGAATCTTCCTCTCTGCTTCTGAGTACTCACCGATGGCGTTGAGGAGCTTCCTGGTGAAGGTGGCCGTCATGCCCCTCTTCCAGATGAGCCAGTCCGCGCACACGGAACACATGTTGGAGAAGATCCACATGCAGAGGTACGGCAGGGCGGACTGCCAACCGTTCTGTAGGGGTAACAGCTCTCGTTTAGCTACAGGCCAGGAGAAGGAGCTAGTGTGGAGGCTAAAGATTCACCCATTAAGTTCGCCCGCAATTCGCTCTTGCGAAACAACCAAGTTTAGCCTATGAAAGCTCTCAGAGCGCCTTGTAGGTAGGCAACATCTCGCCTGCAGTGCATGCGTGTGTTGCGGTGTGGCCTATCCCGAGTCTCGCAGGCGCTGAGCTCCCGTCATTTGCCGAAATGAATCTCGATAGGCTATACCTAAACGGTCCTCATGGGATCATGGACTCACGTCTTTGATGTTGACGTGGAGGATCTGCTTCATGAACGAGGGCAGCTGGGTGAGCAGCGTCTCGTAGCCGTAGTTCTGGCCCATGTGCGCCGCCAGGATGGCCCAGAAAGGCATGGACTTGAAGATGGACAGCCAGGGGACGGCGCCGGGCTCCTCGACGACCTTGCCCCAGACGGCCTCGTTGATGTACGTCCGCTCCGACTCGCGGATGGTCGGGTGCGAGTTGGGGTCCTCGTAGACGGTGAAGAGGAAGGCGAGCGACCAGAGCGCGCCCACCGCGCCGAACACGTAGAAGATGGAGGGCCAGCCGCCGCCGAAGCTGGCGCGGGAGAGCAGCCCGCTCAGCGGCAGCGAGATGACCGTGCCCAGCTGGGCGCCTGCGGGGACCCGTCGGCTCAGGTTAGGGATCGCGACCACAGTGTGGTCACACGCACGGGCGGCGCGCCCGAGGAATAACGCGCTGCTCACCGGCATAGACGAAGGCGCCCAGCTTGCTGCGCTCGTTGGGCGGGATCCAGTTGGAGAGCATGGCGTGCGTGCAGGGCACGATGGGGCCCTCGCCCAGCCCCTGCACGAAGCGCACCACGATCATCCAGCCCTCGCCGTGGTTGGCGGCCAGCGGCACCAGCAGCCCGAACACGGAGTTGATGAGCATGCCGACGCCCAGGAAGTACTTGGCGCCGAACCTGCAGAGCGGGGAGCAGCACCACCGGGGTAAGCTCATGTGGACCGAGGTAACATTAGGGATCGTATGGTCAAATTGAAGCGTTCAGAGCTTTTTACCGTTTGGCGAGGATGCCGAAGGGGATCTGCGTGACGACGTAGCCGTAGAAGAAGGAGCTGAGGATGATGCTCTGCTCCTCCGAGTCCCATATGAAGGCTCCGTCCTCGGCCCGCTAAAAATAGACAGACAACGTGTTTTAGACGCCATTATACTGTTAATTACGAGACCACCAGACGAAAGACGTCGTAGCCTTTATGATGAGGAAGGCGTTTAAACGATCGTCGTTCGTGCCGTCCTCAGTGTGGACCACCACGAGGGGGTACCTCACCTCTTCTGGCTCGTACTCGTTGGCCGGGCACTCGTTGGTCAGGGTCTCAGGTTTGAGCACGGCCGTCTGGTTCACCATGGCCACGATGGCGACCGACATGTTGGTCCGCATGATGTAGGCGTTGGCCATGCCCAGGAAGAGCATGAGCGTGGTGAAGTGCCGCACCCCCGTCCATTCTGCGGGAGAAGAGGAGCGAGGGTCAGTGATGGTTGGTATGGTGCACACAGAGTACGGACGGGTGTCAAAGCGTTGGGTGCACGAGGACCAGCGGACCAGCAGTGGACCAGCCGCCACGTGATTATTTGGCAGGACGAGTTTTGGCACCTCGACCCCCCCCCCCCACCTCCCTTCCTGACACTCTTCAAATGTGTTTGTCAAGGCCCGCCTCTGTTTGACATAAGGAGCGATCATTAGCACCGTCTCGAAATAAATTCGGGAAGCTTTCTTCTGCGACGCAATTATATTTTTGCGCAAGTTCGAAAAATAACTCTCTAGACTGTATCGAAAGGCCTTATAATCGATATCGGTTGAGCAGTCATGTCGCTCTGGCGGACTGCTCACCTCACCCCGGCGCGCTGGTCGTGCACCAGGGTGGTTGATTCGCCCCACTCCGAGTCTTTCGTTGGTTAAGACTGTACCGCACGCGTGCATGCCATGCGGTACAGTCTAACCATACGAATGTGCACGGGGCGAATCAGCCAACTTTGGGGTACAATAATTGTGCGACAATGTTTCCGATAAAGGCTCGATACAATAACCCTAACAGCAGACGGCACGGATTAGGCGGCACGGCCGTGCACGGCACAGCGTCCACTATCTAGCCCGCCGCACAAGACCATTGACAGGCTCGGCCTGCCGGCCACTCGAGCGGAAGCTCAAGGAGACATTCTTCGCTCAATAAACGCACTAATTGACACTCACGAGGAAAAGAAAAGATTGCTGCACAGGAGCCAGCCGACTCCGGGCTGTTTATCTTGGGAGACGTTTCCGCGACGTTTGCATTACGAACGTTTACGCGTTGCGTTATTGCGGCCGAAACGTGACGATGATGTCGCGCGTCCCGAAAAGTCCATCACAGTTTAATTCTTTCATTGGGGTCGTTCAATCCTGTGCGGTCGCCACAAACGCTTCACTTGGGTGTGGGGGGAGTGCACCTCGTTCAAATCGTGAGCACGGTGCGGTGTGGCGGGGCGGGGCGGGGCGGGGCGGTACGATTAACAGCTGCGCGCCAACGAAAGGCTCTGCGTTCCTGCCCGGCGGCGGTGCGCGGCGCGCGTGGACGCCGTGGACGGGTGCGTTCCACCCGCCGGCCGGCTGCACACCGACCCCTCCTGCCCTCGCCGCCGGCCGCGACAGGTGACACACGCGCGCGGCTAACGTCCAAAAGTCATCGAGTCTCTCTGCAAGTTGGCGCGATCCTTGCGCTGAGTGAATCGCCAGTGATTGGGCACGACGCTATCGCGCGCTATCATCAGACTCTGCTGGGGAGGCTGCGACGCAGGGGCTGCGCCATCCCGCCCTCACCCCCCTAAAAACTGAGTTCTTGGAACCAGTACATTGTACTTGCTTCTTGATTTTTTTTTAAGCACACATTATCTAGATTCGAATGATGACACATGTACTTGAAAAATCAAGGATAATCAAGTACAATGTGCATGGTCCAAGTAGTCAGGTTTATGTGGGCGCTCGTGGCGGGACAGTCGTTAGTCAGAGCAAAATTCGTAGCGACAGATTCGCCCGTCATTGACACGTGTCAACCGCCCCCCTCCCCCTCCCCTTCCTCCTCGTCCCTTGGACCCGTTCGTCTGTCACCAAATGTCCAGCGCGAATTAGCACGCCAGTGCACCTCTGTTGGCCCCCTGAACATTTAGTTAGCACCCTTCTGCCTCCCTATCGATAAACACCCATTATTTCACATATTTCATAATTGAACAGTAACCTGCGGCGTCCCACCGCTCGTTACTCATAGCACTCATAGCCTACTCGAACCCGCCCGCACGGAAATGTTTCGATTTCTTCACTAAACTGCGATAGTGATTTTCTACTAGTCTTAGCAGCAACGTAAATTTTCACTACCACAAATAATGAGGTTGAGCATTTAGGCTACTGCAAAGGTCTCTTATTAAAGCAAACGACAACTTTGTAAAGGTCATTGCGTTGAGCACGAATAATCTTGCCTTCTACAACAGTCCACAGTCTAAATTACGAGGGACATTTTATTTCACAATACATATTGTAATGGCCCCAAATTTCCCCTGTCGTAAAGTGCAGACGTATTTATATAATTAATTAACGATTTATTTTTTTATTTTTTTAAAGCGAGACAGACGAGCACGAGTGCAATAAAGTTGCCAATAACGCGTTATTTGAAAATCGAATAAAGTAGGAAATTAATCATCATTAAATCACTAATTGACTGACGGGTGAACGGAGCGGTAAACAACTGACACCCCGCACGCACGTGGAGAAGCGGGGGACCGCAATAAACGACCCGACACAAAAGAAAGGCTCACTTGGCACGTCCTTGGCCGCGTCCTCGGTGAGCTGCTCTGTGCTCGTACTGTGGGCGACCTTGGCGTCCACGGCGATGCTCGTCTCCGACTTCCAAGTCATGACGGAGCTCGGGGGGTGGAGGTGTGTTCCGGGTGTCGGGACCGTCCGTGGCGGGCAGGCGGGCGAGCCTCTCTCAGCTGGCGCCCGCTGCCCGCCCGGTCCTCCTTATGAAGTCTCCTGCCCCCACCCGGGGGTCCCGCGCCGCCACCTGCGCCCGAGCCTGCGCCCCCGCGGCCCCCACCCGCGGCGGAGCGGGCAGGGCGGCGGAGATAAGGGCGACTTGGGATGCTCTGGGCCCCTCC